CCGCCGCCCGCCGCCCGACACCCTCCGGAACTACTTCGCCCCGGCCCAGCCGTCGGGCGCGTCCGCGGGACCGGCCCCGCGCCTACTCGCGGGCCATCACATCGCCCCTCCCCGCCCCGCGCCAGGCACCGCTCCCCGGGCGGCCTCCGACCTCCTCCCGTTCCCTGCGAGCGACCAGGAAGGAGACTGTGGGACTCCGCTCCGTATCCCTCCGCCGGGGTCACCCCCTCCCCTCGGTGGCAGCAGGAACTAATTCCCCTTCGGGTCACCCAGAACCTAGACGTGGAAATTTCACGGATAAAGGTTCCTTGGGAGCCATGGAAGATGAAACCTTGCCCCGAATTAAAACTGTCCCCCGACATCTCAAAAGCAGGGTTCTGTTTAAAGTAGGGCTTTGACCCCCTGACCCCAATCAAACCCCGCCCCTTCCTGGTTGTCTTAGCGACGGCGGTGGCGTCCCAAGATGGCGTCGTGGCTGCCGGAGACTCTGTACGAGACCGTAGGACAAGGCCCGGCGCCCAGCAAAGACTACTACCACTTACTGGTCACCCGCTCTCAGGCAAGTGCGAGCCGCGGTTTATCCTCTCCCCCGAGTCCCTACCCGGCCTGGCTGGGCCCCCGAACGTGGGCCGCGCAGGCCCGAGAGCGACCGTGGCCCGCCGGAAGCGCCCAGTCCCCGGCTGCAGCCCGAGATTTCCCTCGTCACCTCGGCCCGGCGGCCCGCGGTCCCTCCTCTCGCCCGTCCTTGCTCGTCTCCGGCGAGCCTCCGGGGCCTGTCCACAAAGCCGCCCGCTCCCTTCGCGCCTCCCCGGCTGCCTACCCGCCGCGTTCGCTCCGCGCGCCAAGAAAAACAGGCGTCCCCGGCTTGCGTGCCGCCTCCCCTCGGCGTGGGAAGGAGGGAAAGAAAGACTCCGCCAAGTGTCCCGAGGAGGAGCCGCCAAGGGAGGGAGGTGGGACGGTCTCTTCCGAGGTAGAATTTAAAGACTTTAAAAAAAAAAAAAAAAAACCTCCCGAGCACCACGGCCACATCAGCACTCCCTCAAGCCCAGCGGGAGCGGGTGATTGGGCGCGCTCTCCTACCTTGCTGGAGCCGCCTCCGGCCCATCGAAACCCATCGAAGTGTGCGGGGTGAGGGTACGAAAGGTTTCAGCTGCTGCGTGCCGCGGCCCCACCCATAATGACATCTGCCTCACAACAATGAGACCGGGATTGTGCTACCGCTGGTGCGAAGTGACCCTCGGCCCCTCTGGTGTCTACTTTAGTTATTAAAGGTGGGCTCTGGGTGGCTTATTTTGCCCGTGGATTAATAAAGTGGAGCTGACTTCTGAGACCTGGCTGATCTTACCCTGCCCCTGAGCTATTCTTGTACCTTGAGTTTTAAATAAATGATTGTGGTATAAAATGAAATTTAGAGCTTATATGTTTAGGCGCAGATATTGGTTATTCCCTCAGTTTTTGCAGGAGTCCTCAAAGAAGAGTAATGGATTAACTGTATGATTTAAGGGAGTCTTTAAAAAAAAAAAAGAGTATGTACAATTTGTTTTTAAAATCTTAAGATTTTGAAATATTACAGATGTGATATCAGCCTGCCAAGTTTTTAATTTTTTTTAACTTTTAAAGAAATTTTTGGGCCTGGGAGATAGCTCAGCGGCAAGCATTAAGGTCCTGAGTTCAAACCCCATCCCGCAAAAAAAAAAAAAAAAAAAAAAAAAAGAGAAATTTTTATAGGCAGAGTGATTTCTTTACACTGAAGGGTTGTTGACTCTTTTGTTAGCTTTTAAGTCTCTGATCCCAAGAGTTCCTTTTCTGATGCTAGTGATAAAAAGCATATTCTAGGTCTTACATGGTTTTCTATTTCCATCTACTGTAAATCAGAATATTCTGGTTTTTACTTCTTGACCCGTCTTATACTCTGTCAATAAGACCTTTCATTTGAGCATTTCTTCTTTAAGGGTCTATTATCATAATTGTGCTACACTCCCTAAGGTTGTAAGACTAAACAAGTAAATATGTTTTTATTTTAATAAATCAACCTTAGCACCCTGGCATTAGTTTTTCTTCAGAGTGCTTCTGTTGGTGGTGCGTTTCAGGTTGTTTTCCTTTTTCTTTTATTTTGTTTTTTTGAGATGTCTCCTAGGTCTCCCAGTCTGGTCTCCAACTCCAGATCCTCCTGTCTCAGCTTCCGGAGTGTTCAGATTATACAGCTGTGCCACCACACCTGGCTAAGACTTGGTTTTCAGGTCTCACTTGAGTGCCTGTCTCCCTCTACCTGCTGTTTTATGAACGCTTCACCCTCACTCCCCCAGTATTCTCCTTTTTTAAAATAATTTTTGTAACAGGGTCTCTCTCTCTCTCTAGTTCAGAATGGCCTTGAATGTGCTATGTAGCCCAGGGTGGCCTTGCAGTCGGGGTGATCCTTTTGCCTCAGCCTCTCCTCCCCCCCCCCC